CCCGGGTTTTAGTTCTATGCATTTCTAAGTGACGAGACACCTGGTCCTCCAGGCGAACTCTTCATTAATTATTTTGCCAGTACTGAGACCACATGAGGTTTCAAGTTTATCGCGGAGGGATGGGACGTCGGACTCGTCTGACGCACCCCTCACCTTAGTTAATATTTTTGCAAGAATATTGTCGGAGTTGCCGACCCCATACATCTTTCATTCATTCTTTGGAGTTCTTTTGCAGTTTTCTGGAGTTATCGAGCGGTATGCTAGGGGTAGAACCGTCGCGTGGTCTACACGGTTGCTATTTAAGCTATGCTACACAGTAGGTATCCTCAATCTGAGTGGTGTATTGAGTGGAAGGATTGAGTTCCGTAACTCTATTGTGGAAGGGTGGAGGAGAAGATGTTGTAAGATTAATGCTCAAGGCATCTTCTTCTACTTTTTGGTTCCATTGTGTGTAATCTTTCTCACCAATGCCGACCTCCCACACACACCAGGTACACACTCTCGTCTCCCTCATCACCCCTGACCACCCACTTATGTGCCTCCTCCCAAAGACCCCGGTCGCCCTCCTCTGCCTCGTGCCCTGCAGGCCGGCTATGGCCGTCACCTCTCAGCGCCCGTGCGCGCCCTGGCCAGCTAGCGCACATGCAGACACTTGCGCATCGTTGCAGCAGCGTGTCCGCATTGCCTGCCTCGGCCAGAATCCCCCTCCCTGGCTGGCCTACTTCCTATATGGAAGTGACAGCTGCTGCTGGACTCCCTGGGCCTGGCCATGGAAGTTTCCAGTAGCTTCTCGTCGGGCCCTAGTGTCTGAGCCTAGGCCCATTTGGACAGTTGAGGGCCTGGGCCCTTTTTAGTTGGGCACACCCCGCATTTTCCAGGCTCTTAATGTTTGTTGTATTTGCACCGGCCCACAGGGTAGATACGACGATAAGGCTGCTTTCTTGTTGGCCCTTGGCCACTTCGTGATGTGTCGGCCGCTCAATGTGTGCATCCAGGGCTCAACCACCCGGGCCCTGGGCTCAATTGTGTGGCGCAGTTGCTTCTTCTGGAGGAGGCCACGATAAGTTTCAGGTTGCACTTCAACCAACTATTGTGCATCAACTGTCTGAGACCCGCATTGGAAAATGTTGAGGTAAGGGCCTCTCCTGAATATTCAGGCCTGCCTTCACTTAGGGCGGGCATGAGGCTTGCTGGGGGGTCACATTCCAGAACATGTGCATGTTGCCTAGGACCCCCTGAGGACGGAGTCCTCACATTCCATCCCCCTTAGCTCGAAAGTCCGCTGAGATGTTTCTATGAAGGTGCCTTCGCCTTCAACCGTCTCTCATAGTCTGCCACGATCTGAGGTGTTGTCTCAATTAGTTCCTCTCTGGTGAACCATCGATCTTCTTTCGGATCCGTATGATGCCTGAATCTGACCCTGTATTCCCTCTTGGGTTTCGACGGTCTCCCTCTGCCCATAGGCTTAGGAACAGGCATGTCTCCATGCTCCAAAATGTCGTCGACGTCCACGTGGCCATCCATGGTTGGGGGCAGCGTAGATCTCCGTGATGGGAACTGTTGTGTCTGAGCGAAAGGTGCAAGCGTTGAGGCTTGAAACATAGGGTAAGTGCGCAGGTGACCAGGGATTCGGATCACATACGACAGACCATCCTCTTCACTACCCACAATATCCAAGACTTCCCAAGGACCGAAATATTGAGGCATTAGTTTCCTAGAGATGTCGAATTCCTGCCCTAACTCACTAGACTTAACTAGACACGTTCCCCTATCTGAATTGTGGACCGTCGTCGATGTTTGTTCTCAGAAGCATCATTGCTTCTTGAGATTTCCTGATGCGTTCGAGAACTTGCTGCAGCAACTTCTCATACTGGACGCCAAATTCAATGGTTCCAAGAGTTGCAGCAGATCGATTTTCAGGCAGGAGGAAGTCTAGAGCAGATCTAGGCTTCCACGCTAGGTGCAGCTGATTCGGACTGACACCGGTGGTGCTGTGCACAACGTTGTTGTATAGACTGGCCATGAGAGGTAACTTCTCATCCCAGTCATGTTGGCTGGGCTTTATGTAATGCCTTATCAGATGCTGCACCATTCCGTTCATCTATTCAGCTTGCGCGTTGGCTTCGGGATGATTTCCAGAAGTCATATGTTCTGCAGCCTTCTTCCACATTTCACTTGTGAACCGGATATCTCTGTCACTAACGATAGTCTTTGGCAGTCCCAAGTCACGTATCCAGTTATCCATGAATAACTTGATGACGTGCTCAGTCCTTGCGGTCTCTGGCATGACAATCAGTCTAGCGAACTTAGTAAACCTATCAACTATGACAAAGATATACCTCTTGCCACTCTTGGTGGTCACGAGGGTATCCATGAAATCCATGGAGACACTTTGTCCCGAACCGGCAGAAATGGGTAAAGGCTTAAGTAACCCAACCGGAGCTTGAGTCCGCGGTTTGTCCCGTTGACAGACTTGACAAGTTTGAACGTACTGTTTGGCTTCGTCTAGCATACCAGGCCACCAAAATCGTAGTACCATATTTGCACTAGTCTTCTTATAGCCAAAATGTCCCCTTGCATCATGACAATCTCCTAAAAATAAACAACGCAAAATCTCACTAGTTGTAACAACTAATCTTTTAAACTCTACCTTCTCAAGGAAGAGTAACACATCCACCATCACAAACTCACCAGATGTGGCCTTGTCTTGGGCCTCAAGTTTGCGGATGATGTCCATCATGATAGGATCTTTCTTGTAGGCTTCCACCATCGATCGAGTTACATCTCCAGATAAACCAAACTCAGTTATTAGTGCACCCAGGTAGTCTGCGCTATGTGACAACGCATCCGCAACCTTGTTATACTCTCCCTTCACATAGTCTA